TTATTTGAAAGATATCTCTTTGTAACCCGTTCAAAAGTTTGATTTTGTACGCAAATAACTCAGTAAAAACCATGGATTGTTTTGCACTGTAAAGATATTATAAAAAGACCCCCCCCCTTCAAAATAATTATAGAAAATCAATATTTTTCGATTCTGACAAGATTCCGTGCTCTATGGAAGCTTTAAAGCAAGGATCGGCAACCTATGGCCCGCGGGCCGGATCCGGCCCGCGAAGGCATTTTGACTGGTCCGCGAGCCTGATTACCAATGACTCTATTTTTAACATGAGAGACGAGGCTTTCGAATTAGACTATCTGCCAATTATCTTTCATGAGACTTATTTTACCAAGTTGCGTTGCCTACGTTTAATATCAAATAATGGATACATATTTGTTATGACCCTTGGCTACATTAAAAAGATAACAGAAGCGAAAGGAACGATAAAGTGAAAAGAGGCCAGGGAGGGACTGACATGCGAGTTAGCAGAAATCTAAAGACAGTTAAACATACACGCATTATACATACATGCCTCATGAATGTGTGGATGATACCGCATGTGTACGTACGTAAGTGTATATGTTTGCAACTATTTGTTTGTACTCATGCTTCGTTTTTGTTTGGTGTGTGTGTGTGTGTGTGTTTTGTTTGATGTGTGTGTGTGTGTGTGTGTGTGTGTGGTTCATTTGAACAATTTTCAATAACAGTTTCAAACCTACACGTCATAATTTCATCCATTTCACTTCGGTTGATTTTTTTTCACTTTGACGTTCCTTGAGGAAAAGTAATTTTTGTTAGGTGTTTTTTAATTTTATATTTTCTTTTGTTTTTCTGATTTCTCAATGTTTATTTTCATTATGGTTTTAAATATTTAGTCAAGCTGGAATTTAATGGACTTATTGAAAATATCCACTGTTACATATTTTCTTAAATTCCTTTCGACAATATTGTCAGATTGAGCTTGCCTAATTTTATTTTTGGGTTTTCTCGTTCTGTTGGCGTACCAGCACGAAGTTAAAGTATGCCCACTTTTATTGCAATTTTTGCAATATTTTTTGTTCTTAACTGGACAGAATTTCATCCAATGCCATTTACCACAATGGTAACATGGTCCGGGCAGTTTCTTTAACCTATTTGGGTTTTGTTACTGCGTAATTTAGGACATGAGATTTGCCTTTTGTCTTTTTTAAATGGAATAGGCGGTAGACTTACTTCTGATTTTATTAATCTGAGCCACCCTGATTCCTCGATAGTGTTTGAGTCACACTTTACAGATATTACACTTTGACAGTCCTCTGCCAGTTTTTGGAGAGTCAATTCTTGTTCGTTCTCAAGCTTGGTCAGTACCCGTCGTCTGACTTCGGCGTCTTCTGCTGATACTAACCTTTGTGCGAAAATCAAGCACTTGAAATCATCGGCGGTCAGTTCGGTTAGTTTAAAATCATTAGAGAACTTGTTTACCGATGCTGCAAACGTTAGAAAATCTTGCTGGTTGTCTTTGACTGTGTTCAGGCATTTCCAACGTTTGCGGAACAAGGTTGTGTTAGGCCCGAATAGTTCCGAAAGGAGCTTAATAGTCTCTGAAAAATTCAAGTCAGTCGTTTTCTTGAGTAGTATGAAGTCTACGAACCTACTATCTTCTGTAGTTCCCAGTTTTCTCAATAGAAGACGTACCTTCTTTTTACTGGACCATTGTTCACAGTCTACGTTGAAAATATCTTCGTAGCGCCTGTAAAAAGCGTCAAACGTTTTGTCGTTCTCTGGTACGTATTCAAAGGTTTCCATTGAATTGTAGATTGTACTCTGTGAAATATTGTATCTTTTTTCAGAGTTTGAGCCTTTTAATGCATTTACGAGTAATTCTTTAAGTTGTTTCTGTTGTAGTTCAGCATTCTGAAGCGTAATTCGTTGGAATTCCATTTTATTGTTTATGTAATTCCAAAAATAGTTGTTGTTGTCGTTCTTCTGATTTTTTGTTGCTGATCCAAATTTAGTTTTTTAACATTTGGTCAACTACTTTTTGAAAATCTTCCATATTTAAAAATGACAGCGCTTTTTTGTTGCTTTGAAACACGTGTACTAAGAGGAGGTACAAAAAAATCTTGATAGATTTTTGTTGTTTTTTTTTCTTTTACAGAAAAAAATATGGACAGACAATTAGTTAAACTAAACTAATTATGTGTTTAGCTTTTTTTTTTTTTTTTGAGATTCCGTTAATTTTGATGTAATTGAATAAATTTTTCACCAAACTTATGTATTTTTTTTATAGAAAGGCACAAAAAAAGAGAAACTGACCTCAGTAAATTTGAGGGGACATGTCGAATGTCGAACTGAACCCATTATTTCGCTCGCTGGGGTAGACTGTTCTAGTTCCACGTGCCATGTCTAATGGATGTCAGTTATCGGTTATCACCTGTTAATTCACCTCTGCAAGAACAGGTTTTGGACTCAGAACTCTTTGGGTCCTGTCACTGGATCTAGCCAACGGCTTTGTCCACTGTGCTATGTGTCCTTAAAGAGTTCAATACCTGTTTAAGGCAGTGGAGAACTTGGAGAGATGAATTAACAGGAGATAACCGATAAATGACATCCATTAGACATGGCACGGAACTTTAACAATCTACCCCACAGCGAAATCTTTCAGTTCGACATTCCAACTCAAGAAAAAAAAGGAGCGTACAAAGGCCGAATCGTTGTGATAAATATGGCAACAAAGATGAGGACAATAGTCCGACTAATGTAAGTAGTGTATCCGATTCAGTTTATTCACTTTCATTGACGCTGTCACAATCTTCCAATCTGTAGGAGCTCGTGTCAGTCATCTGTTATAATATTATGTAGTGCGACAGGACTTTCAGACCATCCTGTATATATATATATATATATATATATATATATATATATATATATATATATTTATTTGAATAAAAGACAGACCACGTTAAGATTCCATGTAATAAGCTATTTCACCATAACCCCTTTAACAGGGTTCTGGATCATCAGACTTTCCTTCCAAAAGCTGAAATGAAAAATGAAAAGAAATGCTCAAATTGTTGTGTACGATCTCGGAATACACTTGTAAAAAATAGAATACGTGGATTTAACACATCACAAGAAATATTTAAATAAGATTCTCACTTAAAATTTTGAAAAACTTAGCGTTGCGTCTTTGCACGTTCCGAGATCGTACACAACCGTCAATAATAGCAGATATTCAAAGAACATCTTTCGGTCGACAAACAATTATTTCGTCTTCAAGTTTTTGATTTTAGAAGGAAAAAACACATGCCTGATGATGAATAGAAGACTATTCGTAAGTACTAGCATTTTAAGAACACATAAACTGGAAACAACAGACATCAATTTTATAGACGAGGATCACTTCAATCTATGGATTAACAGTATTTTAATGCATACATTATACTACTAGCGATGGATGTCGCCAATAATCGCATTAATATTTCTGATTGATTCTATGTGTGATTATTTCTTTGTATGTATATATATATATATATATATATATATATATTCCACTTCTGAAAACAAAGATCAAATATTAGTTTTAAGATTACCATCAGTTACCTAGTCGCTTTCTACCTATTTTCGGTTTAATGTCGATTTTAGCTTTAGCAAAGATTGAAACCATGAGCAAGTAGGAATTGTAAGTACAAAGGTGTTTCTGACTGACATTGGTGTCGTGATGTTCTATCAAAGACTAGACTGCTCTAGTTCTACGTCTAACGGATGTTAGTTATCAGTCATCTCCTGTTAATTCACCTCTCTAAGTTCTCCAACGCCTTAACCAGGTATTGAACTCAGAACTCTTTGGGTCCTGTCACTGGATCTAATCAACACCTTTATTCACTGTTCCATATGTCCTTAAGATTATTAATTGGATTATTATAAAACAGGCTGAATTCAAATAGAAAAACAATTCTTCATGATGACTGTGTAGCAAGTCGGACATACGAGTTCGTTCCTTATCAAGTGTCCTGTTATTATAGCTTTACGCTAGACTAGCTTAACTCTAGAAAATAACAACACGTCCTCGTGGCCCATAAATCATTCCTATTTCGATAGAAAATAACATAAAAACCGTAACGTATATAGATTATTGTATTATAAAGACTCCATAACGATAATAATCTTAAAATAATTTGTTCCAAGCTGCTAACCTTTGGTGACCTTCAACTTAAAAATACAAAGTGTATGATGGCGTATTTGTTCAGATCAAATCATCGACTTGAATCAATAAATAAGAAATCCCTGTTGTTAGAAGGAAAGCGGTAACATTATTACAGAAATTGAAAAATCGCTCTCGGTTTTATTCAAAAAGATTTACGATGTATCATCGAAAGTGAGACAAAAACCAAAAAACGATGAATCATAGTGTAGAAATAAGCAGATGATGAAATGAAAATATTCACAAGTGATAGGTGAAGAAAGTAAGCGAGAAGCAAGAATTGGCTCATCAAGATCTTCATATTCTTTTTATCCCTTATTATCTCAGGATGGTCATGGCTCTCCACAGATTCCTTTACTTTATTATATGTGAATTAACATGTCATGCATTCTTGGGAAAGATAGTGGAGTAGTTTTATGGTGCTTTCTTCACGGTTCTGGGTTTCAGAGTTTTAATTCTCCAAGGCTATTTTAATTCTCTCTGCTATTTAACCCACAGCTAGGAACTTCCCAGCCTTATTTATTCTAATATAGCATTGTGTAGTAAGCTTTGAAAATATCAAGGGAGGGTGAGGTGAAAAAGGATTGATTGATGTTTTTCTACAGTTTATCTATACTTTGTCGGTTATTTAAAGCAGAAATATAATAGGATTCTATTTTTCGTGTGAATTGACAGTTTTTTGAGGATAACAATAATTTTTTGGGGGGCGGGTAGAAGAGATCAGTCATACTTTTCGCAAGGGTAATGTGTAAGTGAATGTAACGAACCCTGATGGAAGTCGAACTCGGCTTGCTGAATTCTCATTCCGAGTCGCTATCCATTAAAACGCGCCAAAGTTAAAGGAAATATAGAAAATAAAACTAGGAGGAAGAGGAGAAGGAAGAGAAGAAGTAGGAGGAGGAGAAGGAGGAGGCAGAAAAAATTGCAGTAGGAAGAATGTTGGACAGCTTAAAAGTAGGCGGAGGGGATAAATAAGTAGGAGGAAGAGAAAGAACAAGCGTTGAAGAACTCTTTGGAGGAAAAGGCGGAGGAGAAGAACACGTGGGGGGAATAAAAGCAGCCGAAGGTAGCTAAGAGTGGAGAAGATAAAGCGAGATGGAGGAGTAGGTTGAGGAAGAAGGTATTTGGTAGGAAAAGAAGAACTGTGAGGAGGAGGAGGAGTAGGCAGCGGAGCTAAAGAAAGCGGAAGTGTGGCAAATAGATAGGAGAAAAGAAAAGGACTGAGAGGAGACGTGGAAGAAGAAGAAGAATAAATGGGAGGAAGGAGGCCAAACGAGGAAGTAGCTGAAATAAGAAAGCGTAGAGCAGCGTGTGCTGGTCGAGCGCCATAACCATTGAAGAACGTTGTGACAATCTGATCAAGCGGGAACGTGTTCCATATTAATATAAAGTTAGCACTTCTTAGTAATGAATTGCTTCAATAAAATACTGACCGTGTTTACGCCATGTCCGACCGTCTGTCGGTTCAGCTGGACGGCAAAACAGTTTTGAATAACAAGTGTCCATTGCCGGTCAAAATTAAGGCCATTTACACACGGGCAGTTAAAGTTTGGCCAACCCAGGATGATAATCGATATCCCTAAGGTGACATTTGAACGGTAAGTTGATGTTTGGTATAAATACGATCCGAATGAACAAGTGACGAGGGAAATGAAAACTTATCGCTTGTGGGAAAGTGGACATGTCGAAAAAGTTCTAAAGAGGAGATGGGTGATGGCTGGCGGTGTAGGCGAAAACTGAAAATCAATCTGAATGACGAAGGAAGAACTAATAATGGCCACCTACTCTCGTTTTCCGAGAACAGCCGTCTACTGGAGCGGCTAGCCGATCCCTGTCGTAGACACCTGCTCAGGCACATTAGTGTTTTGATCAATACTAACAGTGTCCACATGTGCTTTGTACTGCCGCTTGAGCGGAGAGATCTTGGTAAATTGCTCTTAATCAATCGCTCGACAGTAAATTCCTCGAAATCAGTTGCTCGAAAAATAATTTCTCGAACTATCAATTGCTCGAAAGGCAGATTACTCGAAGTAATTTCGAAGCTCGAAGCACCACGTAAACTGCGCCTTCTGACAACATGACTGATTTTTTTCTATATTTGTTTTCTATTTCTATTTCAGTAATTTTGGAGATCTCGAACCCTAGTGATGGACATAACTTTTGTTGAAAGTGAAAAAGGAAAGAGTTGTGTTTGGATATATATATATATATATATATATATATATATATATATATATATATTAAGGACAAAACATTGAACAATAAGATTTACTGGAAATGTGAAATGGGCAAAAAAAGGAAATGCTTAGCATGTGTTTTATTTTTTTTTAACCACAGGTTTCGAGCAAACTGCCTTTCTAGAAAAAAAAAAATAAGACTTGCTATATAAATGTACGCGTTCTTTAATTTTAACTGTTCAGTTAACAACAATAAAGTTGTATTATTTTATCTTATAGTAAATATTAGAAACAATGTATTTTTATTTATTTTTAACCACAGGTTTTGAGCAAACTGCCTTTCGAGCAATTGAGAGTTCGAGAAATTATTTTTTGAGCCATTGATTTCGTAGCAATTTACTGTCGCGGAATTGATTTCGGGCAATTTACTGTCGATGAATAGATTTCGAGCAATTTAGCGGATACGTTGAGCGGACATTAGTTACGGTTCCTGGGAGATCAGCAGTCTGAACAACGCCAGCACACTCAGACCCTCGGTCACGATGACTTGTGACTTCGTTCTAGCACGACCATTGACGGCTTCTGAACAGTTCCGTCTATCCAGTTTCACTCACATGACTTGAATCAACCCGTGGTATGGTTTTCAGGCACTTTTAAAAAGTGACGCACGTTGGAAATTCCTTCCCAGACCATTAACATCATTATCTTCCTGACAAATCGACCATGATGAGATTCGAAACCAGGTCACACGGTCGGGAAGTGAACGTTCTGATCACTCGATGTGTGTGTGTGTGTGTGGGGGGGGTGTATGTATGCAGTGAAGGAAAATAAAATTGTAAGACTCTGAAGATGTGTTTCAATTTCCTAAGGTAATATAGCTGTATTATGCAGTATGTTTTAACAGAGCATGGAAAATATGACACCGAGATCCGAACTAGCAAAAGATGCCTTCCAAAACCTAAGCAAAGCATTAAGAAACAGGAAAGTTTCGTTAGAAACAAAGAAAAGTGTGCCGAACTGTTAGGTTTAAATCCGTTCATGTTGCAGTGAATGTTGGATAGTCTCATCGCCCACGAAGAGATGGGTGAAAGCAACAGAAATTTGGTTCTACAGAAGGATGCTGAGAATTCTAAAGACAGAGCACGTAAGCAACGATGAAATTTTAAGGAAAAATAAAAACAAAAAGGAGACATACTCAGAATAAGAAAGCGACACAGGAGGAATACATATGACACCCAGTGAAGAAAGAGGGCTTAGAGAATTTGACACTCACAGGGCATATTGGAAGCAAGAGAGATAGGTGATGGCAGCGGACCACCTACCTGACGAACTTACGTAAATGAATTACGGAGTGGGGAGTGGGAAGGATGAAAAAGCAAGCATTACTAAGAGCTATAAAGAATAGGAAATTGTGGAGAGCTATCATTATCCATGACGTGAAGTGATGCGACCCAAAGAAAAAGAAGAAGAAAAAGAAGGAAACAAACGTGCACATGTTACAAAATAAGAAAGTTATAACTAGTACTGATACACTGTATATCCTCCTTGGGGATTAACACAGGTCTGTGTTTTCGTATACATACTGTCATACAGATGGTAAATACCATACCGTGATACATTATTCAACCTATTGCACCTGTTGACGTAATACATAAAAGTGTTGGGACTTCGTTAAATAAACGAATGTGCCATGAGAGACGGCACTGTTGATCATACCGAACGGGAATGTTTTCGAATATCCTTAAGAACATGTTGAGTAACATGGGCCCCATGTGGGCAGGTTCTATTCAGTGGGAAAGTAGAAAGGAATGAACATGATAACCATAAACACAAAGGCAATCGAGTGATAAACATGCCACCATCCACCATGAGAGTAGGGAATGAAACTACACCCTTGTGCAAATTAATTATACAGGATGATGTGGAGGGCCATGATCACCTACACCCTTGTGCAAATTAAATGAAACAAAACGAATAATTCTATTATTATTTACTTTTTTTCGTATTTTTCCAATGAAGCATGGTCCAGTGCACATGTTAGTACTTCGTATATTCATTTCAGGAAGTCGTTCCTTGCAGATTGACCACAGATTCTCAATTGGATTTAAATCAGGGAAGTTTCCGGGCCAGCCTATAGTACTTTGATTTGCTCACTGGTAAACTTTGCCAATGTGTTCGAGCAACGTTAAAACTTTCGTACACTTCCTTAAAGTAACGTCCATTACAGACAATGGCCGTAGGACAACTAATCGACAGTCGAGACAATAGTGTCTTGGCGTGATAAAAATCTGATGCAATCATGTCTGACGCAATATTTTTCAAAGCCAAACAAATTTCATCATACATCCCGAAAATAGGTTCATATTATTGCACACCTCTGCAAATGACCTTATCTGAGGAAAAAAAATAGAAATCGCTTACACCCTGTCACTCCAGTGGGTCTAAAACTGACCGAATGGTGAAAGAAAGGAAACTAAAGTGGTTGTTTCAATTAATTTGCACAAGTGTGTATGTTTAATGAGCGTATACACGATGAGAAATGTCGTTCCCAGATCTACGTCGTTCAGGCTAAGATCTTTCACTTGTATGAAGGCAGAACAAAATTATCATAACTGAATAGTACAGAGCCTAATTCGATCCTCCAGGTGACCTTCTCATGGTAATGTTGGAGCCGTAAAGGACGATTTGTGTTGATGCTGTTTTGAAGCCCGTGTGCCTTCATTATTGCAAATAAAGAATTTTCAGCAATCTGTGTTGATAATCCTCGGATTTGCTCTGATTCGTACTGTGGATACTGTGCGGTCTTTCCCTGCTGCTCTTAAAATGTCTCGATTTTGACAAACGTCCGTACTACGTAGCCGTCCAGAACCTGGTCTATGGATGTAGAAATATTTATTTGTCCACTATTTCCAACAACCGACGCGTTACGTCTAACATACTGAACGATTTCGCGAAATGACCATTCAGTTTTTTTACGGTTTATCAACCTTTTGTAGGTTATTTAAACCCAGAAAAATATTTTTAGATTGTAAAAATTCTTTGGCGATAATAATGATTTACCTACTAATTAACCCATAGCTGGGGAGAGAACAGATGGATTCATGCCTTGTCGAAATATATTTGCGCGTAAATAAATATAACGAATCCGACTTTAATTGGAACTCAGCTCTCCGATCTCCGATTCTGAGCAGTTATCCATTACACCACCTGCACATCCAAGTTTACAACACCATCTAGGTAATGACCGGGCTCAATGTAGCTTAACTTTGTTGATCGAACGAGAACCGATGTGTCAACGTGATATGGCCGTAAGCCGTACCACCCGCACATCTAAGCTTACAGTACCTGATATTCCCAGGCGGTCACCCATCTAGGTACTGACCGGGATCGACGTAGCTTAACTTCGCCGTGCCAGTGTTATGAAGACAGTGTCCTGTCTCTGGTTCGTTTTATGACATATTTTCATGGTTATACTGACTCTCCACAGATTCTTCATTTTTTTTCGATACATTTTAAGACAACGTTTCTGTTTTAAAAATACAGGGCAATCGTTTGGATATAAAGAAAAAAAGTAATGCAAAATGATGGAAAAATATTATTGCAGACATTTCTTCAAAAAGGAACCTGCAACTTTGATTTTATTATCAACATTTCAAAGATTGCCAGAGTTCAATAAAGACAAAGAAAATGTCTGGAGCGGGAGAAATTTAACGAATAATATTTGATTGTATAATTACCTACATGTTAGGAAGAACGTGATAATGGTGAAAACTCTTCTAGCGATTGAAGAGATTCTGTAGCACTCCCCTATACCACACGTTGTCAAAGCCGTTCGATATGTCTAATGCGATTGTCCTTGTGATGTAGTTTATTGTCTAATGCCTTACTGGATTATAGCAATTAGTATATCAGCAGTTAACAGAGTGGATCGAATTCCGTACAGTTTGCTGCTCAAGAGTTTATCCTTGTTTAGGTAATTAACAAGTTGTTGTTGATTTTCGCAACAAAGAATTGGCTGATGGCACTAAGGAGACTAATGGGCCAATATTGAGACAGGGATGACGGCCTCCTTGGAAAAAGGGTGTGCATTTAACACATTCAGTAGACGGGGGAATGATTTCACTTTCAAACGGCGGGTTTTGCTAAGGCCTAAGATAACTTAGTGCTAATATTCTTAAGGTCAACCACTAGGATTTTATTTGGACCAGTCGCCTTCTCAGAGCCATGGCTTTTGATGACACTTCCCAGGCAGCGATAGAAATATTACAAAGGGGCGGGGAATGGCCCTTGTAATTTAACGTAGAGTTTGAGGCAAAGATCGTTACAAAGAATTTCGCCTTATCTAACGAGGATGAGATAAACTCAGAACCATTTATGATAGTAGGCACTGATGGTTTTTCTATATTTCCTCTGGTCTGGTGCGTCTGTTATATATTTAGAGATTCTGAATAAAATCCAAAGATGAATCTGCTATATTATTATTCCTGACCTGGCATCACGGCTTCAGTCACTTTCCCACGTCACTTCCTGTGCCTTTTCTATAAATATATTAATGGTAATTGTTCTGGTGAACTTTCCTCTATGGTATATAAATTGAATTTAATGTAAATATTCATTGAAATTTAATTTTAAATGTTTTTTATTTTAAACAACAGACAATTTTTACATATGTGAACGAATTATGACTACATAGAGACTTTATGGTAATATGCTGGCTGTAGTAAGAATGGTGAGTAAGAATGTTTTGTTTTGGTATAATGAATACTGCGGTATGTTTAAGATAAGAATTTAAGATAAGACAGATTGAAGACCAACCTTCCCTACCCATCCTTTTGGCCGGGTGCCACATTTTTGTATTTAAACGAAATATATATTACTTTCCTTTAAGGTAAGTGCAGTACTAGATTGGCGGTTACGTTTCATTATTTTACAGTTGAAAAGGCTAAATGTAACCGTAAGTTCTATGCTAACAGTTTCTTTCATAGCACTTCACCAGTTTCATATCAATCGTTATCTTGTTCTTTTATTGTTCTCTCTCCTTAATAGTAGTTTTTCTCATATTCTCTAACACTCGGTAACCCCCCTTTGCGTCTTAGTGGCTTTAGTGCCTTATAGCTTCTCTTTTCATTTTGTAGAACTCTCTTGCAATGACTGCGAGCAGTTATGAAAGCAGAAAGCTTCCTGCTACAATGGTCCATGTGATAGTGCAATAGTGATTACGTTCAGCTATGGTTGGGCATATTCTGGAGTTAACCAAGACGAGCGATTCGGGTTTTGTTGCAAAATCCCTTTTCGTCACAGTCCTATCGCTACTCTATCGCTGTTTTAATGGCAAATGTTCAGATGTGCTATATTCTTTAGTTCCACCAAGTCAGGCTCATTTAGTTCGTATTCCATTGATAAAAAGGAAGTTCCATTCGGGCAGTTTCTCCCGAGAGCATGTGTCACCTTCAACTTAGGGTAGGGTCAACCGTTATCTATCCTACATATCCTCATAATATAAACTTCTTTGTGCCCTTAAAACCTCATTCGAATGACTCTTGGGCCTTGTAATAGGTGAACTGGAGTAGGGTCGGCAAACGTTTGCTAACTATGTGCCGATTTAGGGTTTTAAAATCATTCAGTGTGCCAACAGCATATGTGTTTTTATACAAGTCAAGGTCAATATACCTGTTCTAAAATACATTTTATATAGTAATATAGAGTATATATACTTTAGTATAGAGGAAGGAAATTACTGGAAAGTAATTGAAACTCACCTGAAGCGAGCTGAATGTGTAATGCTCCTCATGCCAATGACACTTCCACCGAGCTTCTCTACGGCATATGACTTCATTGAATTTTGATGTGTTCCTCTCGAATTTATATTGAAGCAGCTAAATATCTTCTTTGTATTGTAGTAGTTATTGGTTCAGACTTCATAATGTCATTTGCGGCTGCGTGCCATTGGTCATTGCTTGGCATGCTAAGTGTGGCACGCGTGCCGTAGGTTGCCGACTCCTGAACTGGAGCATAAAAACAACTTCCTCACAAAATTAGGATATTTGACCCTTTGGTCAGACTTTGACAAGTTAATGTGGTCCAAACTTTTTTTTAACACGCCTTCGTATTAGTGAATACTTGGTTTGAGTTTAAAAACGTCAGTGGAAAAGATAAATTAATGTACCCAAATCTTTCAGTACGTGGATGATCATGACTCTCCACAATTTCCTATATTTTTGTTACACGAAGTAAATTTTGACCTTTCACCATACCTCTTTGTGTTTCGACATTCATTCACTCAGATTGAAGAAAATTGCTGTTTCCCTTTGTCTTGTGAGTGTTAAATTCTCTAGGCCGACTTTCCTTATTATATGTCCCAGTAATTACAGCTTTCCGATTATAAGTATAAGTTTCCTTGTAGTTCATAGCAATTATATATATATATATATATATATATATATGGAGGAATGTTGAAATGTTTTCGGCCAGATCGAGTGTCAGAAATATAGTCAAATAATCAGATATTGAATTTGTTTTGGAAGGATTTTTTCGGGCTGAGAACTTTTCAGCACACACACACACACACACACACACACACACACACACACACACACACACACACATATATATATATATATATATATATATATATATCGCACCGATAGCACGACTTGGAGTTTTATGCACAACGCAATGAGCATCGAGCATTATTTTATTAACACCGTCACTCAATGTGCGATATTATCTATCTATCTATCTATCTATCTATCTATCTATCTAAATATTTCCATGATCTATCTATCTATCTATCTATCTATCTATCTATCTAAATATTTCCATGATCTATCTATCTATCTATCTATCTATCTATCTATCTATCTATCTATCTATCTATCTATGTGTGGGTGTGTTCGTGTATGTGTGGGTGTGCGTCACTGTGCGTGAGTGTGTATATATGTATATATATATAGCTAATTGTGCATTTGTGTGCGCCCGTGTGTGTATATATATATATATATATATATCGCACTTAAGAAAAAAATATAAAGTTTCCATTCGGTAATAAGGCATTATATTTTTAACTAACGAAATACACAGGATATTCATGGTCTCACGAAGTCATTTATAGATTAAAAACAAGAGAACAGTGAAGAGGAAGAAGGAAAAATAGCAAGAAGATAGAAAATCCTGCTGTAGGCGTCATCTCCGAGTATTATCTAAACAATTTTGTTTCATCTAAAAACAACAAAAAGTCAAATCGAAAACGTCTGAGCAAAGAACAGCGAAATAAAGAACTTGGTAAAAAAACGAAGAAAATTGTAAACAATGCTGCGTGACTCGCTTGAAAAAAAAATCTCCTATGAAGTAAATAAAATAAAAGTCAAATAAAATATTGCTTGAGGCTTTATGTACACTGAGAATACGAAAAAGAGTTACTTCTCCAATATAGCAATAGAAAGACGGCCTCTGAGACATGACAGTTCCAAAAATAAAAAATAAAAAAATGATATAGAAAAAAAATGAAAACAAAACAAGGAAAAAAAGACCATGATTCCCACCAGAACGATTTCTTTTCATTCTACTCTACAGCATTCTGAGAATCTTATATCTTTCTCCATTTTTTATTTCTTGTTTTGAAACATCTTTTTCGCCTCCTGTCGTATTTTCGTGTACTTTGGCTTCCTTACTTACTCTCTGGTTGTATGACTTCGTTCCGTGTCTTGTTCTTCATTCACATGTCTGCCGTCTTATTGAAAACAGCTATGAAGAAGTATTGCAGCAAATATCTGCTGTCGTTAATTGAAATCGAAAGAATGTGATCGAAATGGTCTCAGATTCATTACTGACTTTTTAAAGATGTCTCTAAATCCATTCCCTGTAGCCAGCAAAACATATCATTCGCCACAGTTCGCTTATTGTATATATACTTCTGGGTGGTCCGTTGCTTTTATCGAGGTATTATGTGTGGACTGATATCACTCGACGTCCGGCTACGAGACGAAAACTAAAAAGCATCGGTGGCAGGAACGCTGACCTAGTGGGGCGAGAAATAGCGGGCGGAAGCACTAACATTGATTACGTGTAGTCCATGATGCATGAGTAAATTTCAAATCGGCTACCATATGACAAGAAAGCCTTTGTATTAGGCATAGAGTGGCGTTTATTACCTACCAAACTCAGTTTACCTATTCATAAAACTTCATCAAAAAGGAGGATTTCTAATCAAAGTAAAAAGACATACAACATAGTAAACGGTTCCTTCGTCATTAGCGCCTAATCTACACGATAAGCCAACCGTTGAAGGATTGCTGATCGTTATAATCCGTTTATTGCATTTAGACTCCATGACGTGGCTATTTGGTGTCGGTTCGAATGGATGTTAAGTGATTGGTTAATAATACTATAATTCCTCTCCATTTTATAGCCAATCATAAAATCGATCGGCCTAGAAGGGGCACGGTAATAAAGTCGTCATTGGCATGTTGAATTACATTGTAAATGGGAAAATGTATGAGAGAGTAATGTCACAGCTGCCGTAAAATAAAGACAGGGAATTATATCAATACGGCAGGTGAGAAAGGTAATGTCTGCTTGCCTGCCTGCCTGCCTGCCTATCTATCTATCTATCTATCTATCTATCTATCTATCTATCTATCTATCTATCTATCTATCATTGCCAGTCCTTTTATATTTATCTATCTATTATTCTCAGTCAATTCTTTCTTTGTTTCTTTCTTTATATATTTTTCTTTCTTTCTATTTTCTTTCTTTCTTTCTTTCTTTCTTTCTTTCTTTCTTTCTTTCTTTCTTTCTTTCCCATTCCTTTTATATTTATCTATTATTCTCAGTCCTTTTATAACTATCTACTATCATTGTCAGTATCTATCTTTCTCAGCTCTTTACTTTCTTTCTTTCTTTTTCTTTCTTTCTTTCTTTCTTTCTTTCTTTCTTTCTTTCTTTCTATCTATCTATCTATCTATCTATCATTGCCAGTCCTTTTATATTTATCTATCTATTATTCTCAGTCAATTCATTCTTTCTTTTCTTTCTTTCTTTCTTTCTTTCTTTCTTTCTTTCTTTCTTTCTTTCTTTCTTTCCCATTCCTTTTATATTTATCTATTACTCTCAGTCATTTTATATCTATCTACTATCATTGTCAGTATCTATCTTTCTCAGCTCTTTTCTTTCTTTCTTTCTTTCTTTCTTTCTTTCTTTGTCAGTCCTTTTATATTTATCTATCTATTACTCTCAGTCCTTTTCTATCTATCTATCTATCTATCTATCTATCTATCTATCTATCCCACTCTTTTTATATTTATCTATTATTCTCAATCCTTTTATATCTATCTACTATCATTGTCAGTATCTATCTTTCTCGGCCCTTTTCTATCTATCTATCTATCTATCTATCTATCTATCTATCTATCTATCTATCTATCTATCTATCTATCTATCTCGCTTATATCTGATTCCGTTATCTTT